CCCTACCCCTCCCCCTCAGACCCTTCCTCCTCCTCCTCCTCCGCCTCACTCCTCCTCCTCTCATACCTCCCCCCCTCCTCCTCCTCCTCCGCCTCCTCGTCCTCCTCCTCATGCTTCTCCTCCAAGCTCCTCTTCCTTCCTCCTCCTCTCCTCCTCCTCCTCCTCCTCCTCCTCCTCCTCCTCCTCCTCCTCCTCCCCCTCCTCCTCCTCCTCCTCCTCCTCCTCCTCCTCCTCCTCCTCCTCCTCCTCCTCCTCCCCCTCCCCCTCCCTTTCAGGACCCGCTCGCGTGGAGCAGGGGGGGGAGAACCGCAGCCCCGGAGCACGCGCCGCTCCCCAGCGGGGGTCCAAGAAGCGGCGGGCGCCCCGCGCCGCCCCGGCTGCAACAGCTCTAAGGGGCGGGCCACTTGGGGGAGAAAACACGGCCGGCCTTCCCCTCCGAGGAGGATAGCGGAATGAGGAGAGAGGAGGAGGAGGAGGACGACGAGGAGGAGGACGAGGAGGAGGAGGACGAGGAGGAGGAGGAGGAGGAGAACAAGGACGAGGAGGAGGAGGAGGAGGAGGACGAGGAGGAGGAGGACGGAGGAGGACGGAGGAGGGAAGAGGAGGGAGGGGGGAGGGGGGAGGAGGGATGGGGGAGGAGGGAGGAGGGCGGAGGGCGGAGGGAAGAGGGAGGAGGCGCCAGTCCTCCGAAGTTTTGTTCTTTCCACGACGGGCGCCGCGCCCCGGCACGCTAATGCAGCTTCTGATTAACAGATCCGTGGGGGCGCGCGTTTAAAGGAATAATTATCTTGCTCGGGCGAATCGCGGGGTGGCGCCCGCCAGATTGACAATGAATGGTGCGGAGCCGGTAATTAGCGCCGACGCCCGGCCCCCGACGATGGGCAAGGCGGGATCTTTGGAGGCGAGAGCGAGCCAGGGCGCCCCTTTTTTTGTCGAACCGATGCGGGCCTGCGAGCAAGGCGGCTGGACGAAAGTGGGGCGCAGCAAAGGGGGTATTTGCCAAGCAGCTCACGTCGCCGATATTCCAAGCGCCTCCTGATGCCGAAAGCGGACATGCGTCGAGGACTGGCCCCTCGGCGGAGACACCGAAACCAGCTGCGCGCAGCAGGCTTTGCACCCCCCCTTTCCTTCCCCAGCACTTCCTTCCTCCTCCTCCTCCTCCTCCTCCTCCTCATCCTGCTCCTCCTCCTCCCTCTCCTCCTCCCCTTCCTCGTCCTCCTCCTTCTCCTCGTTCTCCCCCCTCCTCCTCCTACTCTCTTCTCCTTCCCCCTGGCGCGCGTTATTAACAAAAATAGATCGTGCCCCGCGGGGTCTTTTCATCAACCCTGGGGGGGAAACCCTCTTGTTAATCACAAGCTGACATTACCGCCCACATGCCCAGGAGCACCCGTCATGTGTTTCGGTTTCCTCCGCGAGGCAGCTGGGGCAAAGGCCTGGGCTGAAGGTCGTGCTCGCGCATGCCAGTCGGGGGCGTCCAAGAGGGGGGCGTCCAAGAAGGGGGGGGCGCAAAGCACGGCCAGGGGCATGTGCGCGGCCCAGAGCGGGCCGGGGGCGCACTGGGATGAGGAGAGGCGCCGCGAAATCCGGGAAGATCTCGTGGCCCCCCGCCAGGATACCCATCCCCCTTCAGCCTCGAGTCATCACCCCCCTCCTGGCCGCCCCCGAGCGAAGGGCCCGGCGGCTCCAGGGGACCCGGCCCGGACCAACGCCCGAGCGATGGAAGAACAAGAGACACGGGCCTTACGCGGGATGGCATCGCGGCACTACGCCGCGGCGTCCGCGGACCGCCAGCGCGGCCCGCTGCGTTGGAAACGCGACCTTGCGGGGGAAGCTTACGCGCTGATGTCGGCACAATCTATCCCATTCTCTTCCGTCGATCAGTTGGCAACACGGCCTCCCGACACAAAACGCTTACACTACCACGCTCCGAGACAAACCTAAAATGAGGGTGCCGTTAATTCTGCACAATACGTCAATATCTTATTTCTCCAACGCCGGAAACAGCGGGAAGACTGCACCAGCCCCTCTCCTCCACGCAGTTCACTACTCCTTCGTCCGCATGTGGACGTAGTCAAGTTTCCGATGATTTCCCTTTCTTGTGCCAATGCCTCGTGCACGTCGACGCCCACGTCGACACGTGTTTCTGCGATAAATTATGTTGGCGTTCGAATGTGAATGCTGACACGGCCGAGGGTTAAAACATGATCGACCCACGAACCGGGAAAAGGATCTATAAATGGCAGCATGACAACGTGTTCAAGACACCTGATTTGGCGACGCAAAATTGCAATGCTGAACGTGTCGATCATGTACCGTGCCAAGGGGTTTGCTGTGCTGTGCCGTGCTGAACTGCGATGTGCCATGCCGCGAGTGTGCTCTATAACGTTGTGGATCGAGTCCTGCTAAGCATTCGAGTCCTGACCGAACTGATCTGGGTCTTGAGCTCGAGTTGCCTGAGCACAGAATAGCCGCCCCAGAGCTAGTTGAAGTGGACACGTGGAGGACGTTCAATCCAAAATCCGAATCAACTCCGACAAGGCACGGCACGACACGGGGCACAGGCTCACGGATGCGCCACAGGATGTGCCAGGGGCGCAATCGGGGATGCGCCAGGGGGCGCGTCGGGGAACGCATCAGGGGACGTGTCAGGGACCTGCCACGGGACGTGCCAAAGCGCGTGCCATGGCTCGGCCAGAGGACGTCATGCCAAGAGACGTTGCAAGGGGCCCGCCGCGGAACGGGCAGGGGAAACGCCTGGGGACGAGCCAGGAAGCGCGACAGAGGACGAGCCAGGGAACGTGCCACGCCGAGTGGCGTGCTAGGGGACGCGCCAGGGCACCTCACGCCAGAACGTCGCAAGGGGCCGCACCAGGGAGCGCGTCAAGGCGCCAGGGGACGCCACACGGACGGGCGGGGTTTGATTGCGACGCGCTCTACTGCGACAAGCGTTTCGCTCGAGAAATCCTCATGTTAGACATCCGCCTGGGCGATCTGGACACTTGAAACCAAGCGTCTCCTCGAGACGTTCTCAACACCTCCTGATGCTAGACATCTGCCTGAGCGACCTGGGCACGCGAAAACAAGCGTTTCGCTCGGACACGCGAAAACAAGCGTCTCGCTCGAGACACCCTGCGTAAATCCTCATGTTAGACACCCGCCTGGGCGACCTGGACACGTGAAAACAAGCGTTTCGACCAACACATCCTCAACACATCCTCATGCTAGACATCCGCATGGGCGACCTGGACACGTGAAACCAAGCTCTCTCTCTCGAGACATCCTGCCCAAATCCTCATGTTAGACATCCGCCTGGGCGACCTGGACACGTGAAACCAAGCGTCTCGCTCAACGCATCCTCAACACATCTGCATGCTAGACATCCGCCTGGGCGACCTGGACACGTGAAAGCAAGCGTCTCAATAGAGACATCCTCAACACATCTACACGTTAGACATCCGCCTGGGCGACATGGGCACCTGAATACAAGCGTTTCGCTCGAGACTTTCTCAACACATCTTCATGCTGGACATCCACCTGGGCGGCCTGGGCACGTGAAAACAAGCGTCTCTCGAGACATCCTCGACATACCCTCATGTTAGACATTCGCCGGGGCGACCTGGACACGTGAAACCAAGCGTTTCGCTCACCACATCCTCACCACTCGGCGACCTGGACTTGCGAAAACAAGCACCTCTCTCGAGATGTTCTCAACAAATCCTAATACTAGACACCTGCTGGGCGACCTGGACGTGTGAAAACAAGCGTTCCGCTTGATACATCCTCGACACAGATTCATGCTAGACATCTGCCTGGGCAACCTGGAGGCGTGAACCCAAGCGTCTCACTCGAGAGATCCTCAAGACCTGGGCACGTGAAAACAAGCAATTGCACCAGAGACATCCTCTGAATTCTGGTCCCCATAAGAGAGGAACGATATATATATAGCACAAAACAAGTGTTTTGCTAGAGACATCCTCATCGCATTACGCAACACAAGCGTTTCGCTTGAGATATCCGCAACAAACGAGAATGCTTACTTTACAATGTGTTTGATCGAAAGAAATTTCAAACACCACCGTTTCGCTAAGGGCGTCCTCAACATTTGAACTCGCCGAGCCGTCTCGGCACTACGCAAGTCGAGGTCCCTGAGCTCAGGCCCCTTCAGGGGAAAACTAGGCGTTGTATTTCTCGGGATTCGCCCGAAACGATTGATCTGAACACCGCCGTCCACTGCAACTGATGCGGAGCACTCTCTCTTTGATCGTGAGCCGAGACGATGCTCGGTGGATAACGTCGACGTTCCCGCGGCGGACGCTCGCTGTCTGCCTACTTTTTCCGGAGGATCTGTACCATTGGCGGGGTGCGCTCGATTATGGAAGGGTTGCTTGGTGCCACGAGGTAAGCCAGAATATGATCGCAACTCGTTCATGCCACTCCCCCTCCTCCCATCTCCCCGCCTCCCAGTTCTCCTCCCACCGTTGCCTGCAACTCCTCCTCCTCCTCCTTTTTTGCGTTGGCCAGACCTTATGTGTGAACATGTGTTCTTCTCCTCGTCGTCCTCCTCCTCCTCCTCTTCCTTCTGCTCGTGAGCCCCATGCTCCTCCTCCCCCATTGCCCCTCCGTCTCTAGCTTCCCCCTCTCCTCCTACTCCTCATGCCCTTCCCGCTGCTGCTCTCCCCAGTTTGGCGGCGCGCAGAGGGGGGTAGGGGAAGGGGGGAGGCTTCTTAGAAGGAGGCTGCTTCTGAGAGGCGCCAGCCTTACATATACAGACAAGGTCCGCGCCTTCTAAGAAGCAGGGGCGCTTCTGATAAGCCTCCCCCCTCCCCCTACCCCCTTCTGCGCCTCGCTGTCAGTTGCCCCGTCCCTGTTGGGCGCTAAGCTCATCTGGCCCGGCGTCTTTGCACTCGGCACGATCGGGGCCCCGCAGCGGCCGCACCCGATGCCGATGCCCGTTGACCCCGTGCCGCCGAGGGGGCCCCGCATTCCGTGCACCCGAGCCCTCAGCATACGGTCTGGCGGCGGCTGGGCAAGACCGATGTCCTGAACACGTCGCGGGAATACCGCCGGGTCGCGAGGCGGCGCCACAGGGGCCTCTGGTCGCGCTCGGCCGGAGGGGACGTGAACACCCTGCGCACCGAAGCGTGGCCGTCCAGGCAGTTGGCCACACGGACAGCCTCTGCGCCAGGCAACCTTCAGGCATTGCTTCATGGGGGGGCGATTACTGTCGACGAGCGCGTTCCATTACGCGCAAAGTCACTACTCGCAAATGGCCTGGATCCCCCGCCGGGGATCTACGATAAATCACGTCAAAGCGGACAAGGGGTTGTTCGGACATTTGCGAGTAGGCACTTTGCGAGTAGTGGGACGCGCTCGGCGATACTGGGGGGAGAAACATCTACCTGTCCTACCCTTTTCGGGGCCCCAGGAGGCCCCTTTAGGGCACCAAAGCTGCACCTTCCACGACCCCACCCATTAAGCGCCTCCCCATTACCCAACGTCCGAGACTACAGAGCAGCACATCCACCCTCACAACAATTACCCTGCAAGCGAAGCCGTCCAGTAAACGCACCCAAGGGAGGAATCAAGCAGGGCAGGGCTGCTTCGCAAACGCCCAGGGCCGTTCAGGAAACGCCAGTGATCGGGGTCTGGGAGGTTTTTCGGAAAAGCGCGCTCCACTGCTCGCAAAATCACTCCTCGCAAATGGCCTGGATCCGCGGGATTTGCGATACGCTCCATAAGGCACGCTTTTTCCAGACGTTTGCGAGTAGGCACTTTGTGCGAGTAGCGGACTTGAACGCCCGAAATGAGCACGGAAAACAAATGGGCACAATGCCCAACAACAAATGCTGTCCCAAACCATCAGCGGCCGCTGTTGGGGGCAGAGACGGCCTTCTGTCCCGAATGGACACAGGCCGCGGCGGCGTGGACAACGAGTCCTGCTCAGAACGAACCAGCACTGCTGCTGGGCATCGTACCCACTCTCTCCGTGACGAGCGGAACGCGCCCGGTGATGTTCTCTTCCCTCCCTCGAGGGACCTCCACACCAGGCCACACGTCGGAACCAGCTCGTCCGCGTAGGCCGAAGGGCCGCTGGCGATCCTGGGGAGAGCAAAAGGTACCGGGTACCGATGCCGCTACTCCCCAGACCTCTCCTGGGGTGCGTCCTGACCCAAACTTCGAGGCGAATCCAGCGGTGGCGACGAGGGCTTCCCAGGAGGCCCAAAGAAGGGGAAACGGGCGAGGGGGTATTATAGAGGTATGGGTATGCCTCTTCCTCCTCCGAGCTCCGGGAGCCCTCGCGGAACACCGGGTGCGCCAGCAGCTCCACCGCCGGGGGCCGGTCGCCGGGGTCGGCCTCCAGGCACTGCCGCACGAGGCTGCCCAGGAGCCCCCCGAGGCCGGCGAGGTCCAGCGGCGGCGCTGCGCCGCGCGCGAGGGCGCGGCGCACCCCGGCGTGCTCCACGTCGAAGGGCAGCCGCCCGAGGCGCATGAAGCAGATGCTGAGGCCCACGGACCACAGGTCGACGCGCTCGTTCCACACCCGGCCGGCGTGGATCTCCGGGGCGCTGTAGCAGGCAGTGCCGCGGCAGGTGAGCATGGCGCAGCCGAGCGCGTCGTGGCTGCCTATCTGCTTGGCGCTGTTGAAGTCGGCCAACTTGAACTGTGCGGTGCCACCGCTCAACAAAATGTTGGCGGGCTTGACATCCCTGTGCACAATCCGGCGGCTAGCGATAGGCTGAAATCCAATAGCCGTACAACGGAAGTACTCCCCAGAGCGAATGACCCGCATATGCCAACCGGCATGTGCCTCCGCATGTAACAGCGGTGAGCCTGACGCGGGCTTTTCAGCCTCCTTCGATCTACTCCCCCCTGCAGGGCAAAATATATGATGTGAACTGTCCAGTCTAACAAACACGCGTGTCGCACGAATAATTGCTGCGAGCTGACGCGTCCAGTGCGTGGACGCAAAGCATCGCGTGATCTCATTCACTCTGACGTTGTGCGACCTATTGGTCGCATTACATGGGATGCAACTTACGAGTTGCAGCTTATGGGATGTGACAGTCTCATGTGTACCGTATGGGTCGCAAAAATATACGGTGCGCAACAGGCCTCGGAAAAAAAACAGCGAGCACTCATGCCAGATTCATCTGTCAACGCCTCCCCCTCCCCCCAATGTTCAAAGTTGGCGGTGGGTCTGTCTGATGAGTTGCACCTCGACCGCAGTCTCCCCCGCGCGTGCCAACTTTGAGTCTGGGGGGGCAGGGGGGTGTTCACTAATTGTTTCCCTCTGCTGGATTTCTTTCTTTCTCATTCTTTCAACTACAGACAATGTGTCGAGCACATATCCTACCTGCCCACTACCCACCCTCTGCTCCATCCTCTAAGATTGCCGTCCGTAACACATCGAGACACCACTCTGCCGAATGTATGGGGTGCAGCGATGGGGGGGGAAACCGACGTGGTGCAATGAAGCGATTGCATCTGGTTGGGCCCAACTTCAGAGGCGCAGCTCACGGAGCCCGGCCGACGACCGGCCGCAAAAGCGGAGCCCCGTGGACTGCAGCGCCCACGGGCGGGTTCCCCAGGACTCCCCGTCGCTCGGACGTCCATTCCCTGTGTGTTTTCGCTCGTCGGTCTCGCGCGTGGTTCTGTCGCAGGATAAAATCCAGGATGCTCCTTCACAATGCCCGCCGAGAGGAAGTGCACACGCCCGAGCGATACCGGGAGCGGCCAAGAGGGGGGTGTCTAAGAGGGGGGGTGCAAATCATGACCGGCGGCATGTGCGCGGCCCAGCGGGGGGGCCAGGGACGCAATGAAATGAGAAGAGGCGCCATGAAGTCTGGGGAAATAACATGGCCCCCGCCACGATATCCACCCCCCCCTAGTCATCGACCTTACACACTTCCCCTCTACCTCCTCCTCCTCCTCCTCCTCCTCCTCCTCCTCCTCCTCCTCCTCCTCCTCCTCCTCCTCCTCCCCCTGTCATCACCCCCCCCTCTTTGCCGCCCCCGACGATACCAGGCCCATGGCCAGGGCCTGGCGGACAGGACCCAATAGGATGGCCGGGGCCCCAGCACGGCGCCCGCCGCCAGGGGCCCCCGGGGGCACCCCACGGGCACCACCGCTGGGACCAAGGGGAGCGCGCAGCGGCAGGCGAGGGGGCCCTGGGGGATGCGCACTTCGGGGGTGGACGGGACCCCCAACAGTGGCACGTCGACTAGTGAATTATCCTCTTTCGGTTCTCGAGAGGGCGCCGCGGCCGTGATTTTCCAGGCTCGCGCCCGCCAGGTTTGGGCCTCAGGTCGTTTTCACTAAACCACGTTTTACCCAAAGGGAGGTCTGCCCATCCCCGATCACTGAAACGAGAGTAAGCTGCCCTTAGTGAAAGCAGTGTGCTTCGGCGGTGGACAAACCTCCCTTGAGTAAACCTCCCTTGAGCGAAAACGGCCTGGAACCGAAACCGCCGGGCCTGGACCCGCAAAAATGACGGCCACGACGCCCCCTCGCGAACCGAATACGGCCAACTCCTCAATGGACGTGTCAGGGTAGGAGGTCTATGCGAGAGTAAGAGGCCCGTAGTGAAAGCAGTGTGTTTAGGGGATTTACACACGTGTTGCGCTTACCCCGGAAAGCACCGAAGCCGTAGACGTCAGAGCACGCGTCGGAGCCTCCAAATGACCTGCGACGAGCCAAGGACGTTCCCACGACAGCCTTGGCCATCGTGCATGACACATACACATCACCGCACGGTGGCGTAATTGTATGGTGGCGCAGCGTGACCCAGGACCCAACATGTGCTGCGACTGGCGGGCAGAGACGCAGCGCAACTCCTCAGCAGTACTGGGACCCAGTCTGACGAAATCCCACCAACTCTCTGGTCGTAGGTGGTTTAACGAGTTCTCCATGTTCTCTTTCACATCCCTCCTCCCCTTCGGGGAGGGGCTCCCCCTACTCCCACCCCATCCAAGAGGCCTAGACAGGGGGGGGACAGCGGTCAGAGCGCCCAAGAGGGCGTCTGAGGCCTTCACGTGGCCCCAAGATGGCCCAAGAGAGCTCCAATAAGTGATTGCGATGGCCCCAGGGGCCTCCAAGAAGAGCCAGGGCCCACAGAAAGCCCCCAAAGGGCCCCAACAAGCCTCGAAAAACTCTATAAGGACCCCAGAACCTTTCAACTGGGCCCCAAGGAGACCCAAGGAACATCTCCAGATGACCCCCAGAAAACTCCAAGATGGCTTCAAGAGTTCTCGTCCTCGTTGCCCTCCTCCTCCTCCTCCTCGTCTTCGTCGTCGTCCTCTTCCTCCTCGTTGTCGTTCTCCAAATCTCCTGATCCCCATCCTCCTAGTCGTCTTCCTCATCATCGTCCTCGTCCTCATCCTCGTTCTTTCCCTCGTCGTCGTCGTCATTATCGTCCTCGTCCTCGTCCGCTTCTTCATCGTCCTTCACCTAGAGCTCAAGACCCAAGACGGCCCTAAAATCCCAAGACGGCCCTAAGATCCCAACAGGGTGCCGCTAGACCCAAAGACGGCCCTAAGATGCCCAGAATATCACGAAGACCCAAACACGGATCCTTCGGAGTGGTTGTGCCACTGCCTGCTTCTACACCTTCCTGATCAGGGCAGCACGCACGCCTGGCGATCGACTCTTCATCTGCCGGCGGGGGTAAGAAGCTTCAACGATACGGATTCCTCCTCCGCCCTATCCTCCTCCTCCTCCTCCTCCTCCTCCTCCTCCTCCTCCTCCTCCTCCTCCTCCAAGTGACGGTTACGGAGTTCAGCCTACCAAATGTGCAGGTAATCCAGGGCCTGCAGCACCTGAAGCGCTCCGGGCGTGGCCACGGCGGGCGCGAGCGCACCTGTGGAACCAACAGCGCACGGGGAAGATGGACGGGTGGGGCAAACGACACCAAAACGTGTAACACTGGAGGCCTGGGAATTGGCACCAACACCAGCACAAGAGGCTGCCTCCACATGGGGAAACTGATCCTGGATTTCGGTGCTGGTGGCAAGACGTCGGCCACCCAGGAGGCCTGAATCTTACCACCATCACCGAGATCGGGATCGTCCTGCCTCGGTGGACGCACACCGCCGATCTTGGTGTTGGTGTCAACCTCTAGGCCTGCGATAAGAATCAAACAGCCCAATGAACACTTGGCCATGGCTGAGCATTCGCTGGCCCTCCCATGGGGCTGTCAGGCTGCGACGATCAGGCTCCAGCAACTGAGCAGCTCGATGTTCATCGGCGCAATGAGGCAACTCTCAGCGTTGGAATATCTTCAGGGGCTCAGCTTCTTGGCGACCGTGATCTGCTAGCGACCAGTTCTCAGAACACAAAGCCGCTCAGCTTCCCAAGAGGTGGTACGCTAAGTTTCTACGAGCGCGCGCGCGACCCCCCTTCGGCACGAAGGCGCAGCGTGCCCAGCCTCGAATCACGTTCTGACCAAGAAACCCGCCCCCTCACCCCCCCCGAAAGCATACCCTTAAGTCGGGCCTGTCCTCCTACAGGGGGATTTTGGACGAAAAATAACGAAGTGTCAAAAAATACCCCCAAATGGTCAAACAATGCTCAAAACATAGTCCCCAGACTATTTTCAAAATATTCTTAAATATTCCTCCTGTAGAGGGACAAGCCCGACTTAAGCATACCCGGACATGGCGATCCTGCCCCCGAATCTCAGCCTCAGAATTCGCTGGTTCCCTGGGACACGTAAACATTCGCAGCACCCCGCAGGTGCGGATAAGAGTGAGGGACCACGGCGACAATAATGGCAATCAATGCACCATAATGCTCAATGATCCGACATACAACGTGCATTCATCATAATAGCTCCCCCCCACTGCATGCAGGAACAATGTCATGCATCGGGGGCCCGATTTTCCCTTATCCAAATATCCAGCCCGACGATATGCCGCTAACATTTCTTGCGAGGAACTTTACCGTTGTCAATTCCGCGATGTGGGGGCCTCCTTTTCGCCGTCTTGCCGCCCACGTGGGCCGTCTTGGGGCTCTCTTGGGCCGTCCGAAGGCCTTTTGAGCCCCCTTGTAAGTGTATTGACGCCTCTTCGAGACCAGTGTGACACCTTTGCAAGGGCCTTTTTCGGAACCATCGTGGAGCCGCCCGCGAGCCTCTCAGAAGCGATACCAAAACGAGTGATCCACTTTGAAGTCAAAATTGAAGGAATATCGAGCGCGAGCGCCATTCCTGCGTAAAGGCGAAAGACTCTCAAGCGGGAACGCTGATCTTGTAGGTGGGCCGTTCTCGGCGGCGAGCAGGAGCCGTACAAGCGCCAGTCTTGAGTGAAACGAAAGGGTGAGCGGAAGCATCGTTGGTGTAGGGTGGCCAATCTGCGGACCCAAGGCGGGAACGCCAATCCCGGGTAAAAAGCGAAAAATTTTCGAACGGGAACGTCTTTGATGTAGGGGGCTGGCTTGCGGACCCAGGGGTGTGGAAGCCCAGGGTACCGCAGCTCTTGACGTGGTCCTCCAGGCTTCCACCTTCACAGTACTCCATGCACACCACGACGTTTGCCGCGGACTCGTGGATCTCAAATGCGCGCACGATGGACGGGTGCGACAGCGTCCTCATGAATTGGTACTCGCGTCTCGTCACCTCCCTGACCTCCTCTGGGCTGCAAGAAGTATCCATCGCCCTGCCTCCTCCCTCAATCCCTTGCGTTTGGACAAGGGGCCCTTGCCGCCAACCATCGTGGTTTGGAGGAGGTCCTCCTGTCCACTGCTGTCTGGTCGGGTTTTGACAGAGGCCCAAACTCGTGCCCCTGACTGACAGGTCCATCCTGGAGTCTCCCGTCTGCGCCTCGTCTGAGGCCATCTGGGGGGCCAAAAGGGCGCCTCCCTGCAACGCTGGGGACAACTCTGGGCCAGGACCACTTTCACTAACACCTGAAATCTGGAGAACATTTGGGGATTGTTTCTCCAAGAGGAGGACGCGCGATGAGGAGGCGGGAGGAGGGGGGCAAGAGAAGAAGGAAAGGAGTGATGCGACTTGAGGTCGACCCTCCTGCAGCCCCATGGTTACAGCGAGCCAGGTGAGGAAGTGCACTGGGGAGAGGAAAAGGGCAAAGAGGAGGGGCAGGGAGAAGCAGCTGGAAGGATGATCAGACGCGCCCCAACCATCACACACCCTTTCGAGTTACACATTGAAAAGCAGCACGCCTGGAACACAACACTCAACCCGTATGATCAGGACGCGCGATAAAGACGTAAGGGCCTTGGAAGGCCATCCCGATATTCTGAGAGCTGGGAGCGGCCAGCGAAAGCGGCCGAGGATGGGCCGGAGGGGAAGGATGCGAGGGCAACCCTGGACAGTTGCTCATCCTTACTGTGCGGGTTGATGGTCATCCAACAGCTCCATACAATTTTTTCGCTGGTAAATAATGACAGGACGGAGCTTTCGGTTGCAATGAACTGCTTTGTGTTAGGTCGGGCACGTCCCCCTACAGGCAGATGTTGGAGGAAACAGGGTTTAACAATATTCGAGACATACCCCAAAAGGAGTCAAACAATAATCGAACAGTCGTCCCGACACTATTTTTGACTATTTTGGACCAATCGTCCTGCAGAGGGACACGACCGACTTAAGCTTAGTGGGGCGCCTCCTCGGGCCCTCACGGGAGGCCGACCCCCCTGGGGAGGCGCACAGAATTCGTCACCGGGCCGCGGAGAAGTTCCGCTCGGCCACGGACGCGGCGTGGCGCCAGGCTGTGACCAGAAGTCAAAACAAGCAGCCCCCAGAATTATGCTGTTCCCATCCTACTTACGGACCGCATCCCAGAAATAATTTCGAGCACCCGGAAAAGTGTCGAAAGAGTGTCGAAACAGTGTCGGGCGAGTGTCTCCCAGGGCCCGACACCTGAAAACCATCGAGTTTCGCTATTTTTTGGGGGGCTCGAAATTCTTTCTGGTGGTCAAGGCTAGAACAGGTAGACACATCTCAGCCCCAGAATAACCACCCCGACATGCGAAGGCGTTTGGCAAACGCGCCCAAAAAAGGGATCGGAGAGAGCAGGGCTGTTCAGCAACCGCCCAAGGCCGTTTAGTAAACGCCAATTGTCCGGTCCGGGTGTTTTTGTTCCCCCCTTGAGTGAAGGACTCGCACAACGTCGCAGCAACATCCAGGGGCCGGTTCTGGGATATGCTGCAATATTGCGAGCAGATCCCGTTGGTGCTGCTCGAGCACCGCGGTCGCAAGCTTAACAGTGACCCAGTGTGGCTCGGCGTCTGTTTGGTTGCCCTCCGCCCAGCCGGACTCATGGCCTTGCGCGGAGTTGTGGCACTTGCCTTGTGCGCCGAGTTCAGAGTGGTGGTTGGACGTAGCATGGCTGCGCCTATGATCTAAGCTTCTGTGATTGAGTCGTTCGATTCGGTCCCTCTGGCTTCGGGCGCCACTCTGAACATTTACATCAGCGATAGTGTCCTCCTCTTTACTCACCCAACTGGCGGATAATGCTCCTGACAGTGTGCCCTGTGGAGTGTGTGGTACTGACACCATGAGATAAGGTGCCAGGCCCCCGCCCACGGGGTGACAGAGGAGGAGGAGGAGGAGGAGGAGGATGAGGAGGAGGGAGGGAGGAGGAGGAGGAGGGAGGGAGGGAGGAGGAGGGAGGAGGGAGGTGGGAGGAGGAGGAGGAGGAGGAGGAAGGAGGAGGAGGAGTGAGGAGGAGGAGGAGGAGGAGGATGAGGAGGAGGAGGAGGAGGAGGGGAAGGAGGAGGAAGACGAGGGAACGGTGGGGAGGGCCACAATATTAAACGCCCTCCTCGTCGCCAGGCGGGCACCTGACGTCCTTGAGGGCCACCGCCGAGCCGTCCGAGCGCCGCCACGCCTTGCGGACCGTGCCTGCGCGGGAGGATTGCGGCGCTTCGGCCAGTCTGGTCCACCTCCCCGCCTCCACCTCATCCTCCTCTCTCGTCCCCCTCCTCCCTCCCTGCCTCCGTCTCTCCCTGCCTCCCTCCTCCGTATCCTTCTCCTGCTCCTGCTTCTCCTCCTCCTGCGTCTTCTCTTCTTCCTCCTTCTCCTCCTCCTCCTCTTTGGCACAGGGTGCTCGGCGGATGGTAAAAAGTGTCCCCACCCCACCCCCGCCCCCTCTGTCTGTTGTTCGCGAAAGATGCATGTATGGGTTATTCAGAACCTTGGAAGGCGCAACACCTGAGATATCGGACGTTCTGGTAGACCGCAGGGGTGCCTTGGCGCGACGTATGGCGCAACATATTCTCTCCACGGGGGATGCTGCCAGCGCTTTTCGAAACTCGTAGCAGACACACCCACTGATGCATCGGACGTCGTGGTGAATTGCGGATTGTCTAGGGCAACCTGGCTTGCAGCTTCTGGCACAACGTATGGCATATGATGTTCAATCTATCTCGGCGGCTTGGTTATTCTCTTCGGCATGCCTTCAGAATGAGCCTGTGGCAACAACCCAACCTCGTCCTTAGCCCTCCTCCTTCGCCCTCCTCCGGCCATCCTGTCGTCGTCCTCCTGCTCTACCCTCCTTGATTTCCTCTCCTCCATCGTCCTCCTCCGACTCCTTGCCGATAACAGTTTCCCCCTCTCCAAATGTTCCTCCCCAACCTCCACTCCCGCCCCCTGCTCCGTCTCACCCCAACCCTCCACAAATCGTTTCCATTCTAGTCCAGTTCATGCTCAGCTCTGCCCTCCCACTTCGCAGAGCGCCCAGCTAGCTTGTCACAACCGACGCGGCCGCGGTGGCGCTGACCGATGTGAACTTCCCAGCGCGTCTCACAGGCCGCGCTGGCGCGCGGACGCTGACTAAGTGCGTGTAGGTGACTCGGGCGGCCGCGGTATCACGATGACGTCGACAGCGGCGGACATAATGATGATAATAGCGATGATGGTGACGATGACGACGATGACGCACGCAAGGCCAATGACGGCGGCCGATGGAGGTTTTGGCGGGACTTGAACGTGCGCGCGCGGCCGACTCGGGCGAGCGCCCCGCAGGGTATTATTCGGCATGGCAAGGGCTCCCAACTTCGCGCTCCGCGCTCCGCGAAGCGCGAAGCGCGAATACCTTCGCGCCCTCGCGCCGCCTCCCCAGAGGGAGAAGAGGAGGACGAGGAGGAGGGGGAGAAGGAACGAGGACCGCGAAGCGCGAACCGCGAATAACTTCGCGCCCTCGAGGGAGCCCTTGGCATGGCGACATGGGTAGTGCCACCCCCACCCCGCACCCAGCACGCGCGCAAGAACGTTCGAGATTGTTCGACGTGCGCGCGCAAGAGGCCCGCGTTGTTTCGTTCGGAAAAGTGTCGGAACACCTTGTTGAGTTTTGTAAGGCTAAAGTTCAGGGTGACAGGCCCAATCCCCCTACAGGAAGACGAATTCGAAAACGCGATCACAGTTGTATTCTCTCAAACGACCTCACATCTCGCATCGTGCGCCCTCCTCGTTTCAATTGTCCACCACATCGCCTTCACCACCCTCTCCCTTCCCCTCCTCTGTCTCTTCATCCGACATCTCCTGCTGCTCCTCTTGTCACTCCTCCTCCTCCTCCTTCTCGGCCACTTCGTTTTCATCCTCATCGGTGTCGTGCTTTTTTGTTGTTTTGCTCGGTGGTCCCCCACGCGTGATCGCGCCAAAATCGCTGTTGCCTTTCTTCGTTTTTTCTTCGGGCAGACGTGAGGCTCGGGTACGGGGCACTCGGGTTGGCCTGACAGGGCCATCATAAAAATGACGAGGCCCAATCTGAAACTCGGTGCGAGCTCCCGCTGCAAACGTCCCACGACAACACCAGACCGCCAAAATCCAGGGCGCGCTCGTCCCCCAAAAAGCACTTGGGCAAACCCGAGCTCCGGCTTGCTCGAGTCACTAACGTTTCCCCGATTTTTCTCAAAGAACAAATCGCGCCCAAATCTTAGGTTGGGCGTGTCCCCCTACAGGCTGATCTCCGACGAATGATTAAAAAAATCAAAACATACCCCAGAATGATAAAACAAATCATCGAAACATTGTCCCCATCATATGTTGTAGTATTTTTGAATATTCCTCCTGTAGAGGGACACGACCGACTTAACCAACATCAGGAACAAGGAAAGGCGACACCAACACTAACAGGGCGAGGAGATGCGCGGAGGCAGGGGGGGGTCTCCCTGGTGGTGTGGTCCCCCCCTCTCGCTCGAGACATCCCCAGTCTCTCCCGCTCGGGGGGACATCGTGGACCTCCTCGCTGGAAGTGGGCCCCCTGGTGGTGTTGGCATCGCTCCTCCTCCCTTTGACAGATCCTGCCGCAACCCCTCCTCCTCCTCCTCCTCCTCCTCCTCCTCCTCCTCCTCCTCCTCCCTCCTCCTCCTCCTCCTCCTCCTCCTCCCTCCTCCTCCCTCCTCCTCCTCCTCCTCCTCCTCCTCCTCCTCCTCCTCCTCCTCCTCCCTCCTCCCTCCACCCTCCTCCCCCTCCTCCTCCTCCTCCTCCTCCTCCTCCTCCTCCTCCTCCTCCTCCTCCTCCTCCTCCTTCGCCGCGCCCCGGCAGGGCCTGTGGTGCCCGCGGCCACGCCCCCGCCGCACGGGCGGTAGAGCTCGGCGAGGTCTGGGCGCCCCGCCGCCCCGGCCCCAGGCGCGGGGCCGCCCGCGGCGGCGCGCAGGCCGCCCAGGCGCAGCGGCGCCACGGCCTCGCGGCTGGGCGGTCAGCGACGGCCACGACGACGACGGCGACGAAGACGACGACGACCGTGGCGACGACGACGACGACGACGACGACGACGACGACGCCGACGACGACGACGACGACGACGACGATGGCGGCGACGACGACGGCGGCGGCGGCGGCGGCGGCGGCGGCGGCGGCGACGGCGGCGGCGGCGGCGGCGGCCGCGGCGGCCGAAGGTCACGAGAGCCCGCCCGAGCCATCCGCGCGCTCGGCTGGCGGACCGAGTCGGCACCATCCATGGAGCCGAGGATCGTCCTCCGCAAATTTACTGGAGATGTCAAACAAAAGAGCAGGCGAGAACCCGTGGCCGCCGGGCGGCTTCTCGAGGGCGGTGGGCCATGTCAAACAGAAAGAGAGCTGGGGGGAACCCCGTGGCTGGCGCAACAGCTGGGCTGAACAACTGGCGAGGCGAGGCGTGTCGGCACGGTGCTTGTTGAGCGGCGCGCCAAGCGGGTGAGAGGCGGAGGAACGGGAGGAGGAGGAGGAAAAGAGGGAGGAGGAGGAGAAGGAGGAAGAAAGAGGAGGAGGAAGGAGGAGGAGGAGGAGGAGGAGGAGAAGGAGCAAGGAGGAAGAGGGGGAGGAGGAGGAGGAGGAGGAGGAGGAGGAGGAGGAGGAGGAAAAAGGAGGAAGAGGGGGAGGAGGAGGAGAAAGAGGAGGGGAGGAGGAGGAGGAGGAGGAGGAGGAAGGAAGAAGAATGAGGAGGAGGAGGAGGAAGGAGGAAGAGGGGGAGGAGGGGGGGAGGAGGATGAGGAGGACGAGAATAGACGCAGAACAAAAACGGCACACATATCGTGCGGACCAGGATTAGGTCGGGAATGTCCTCCTACAAGCGGATTTTGGACTAAAAATAAAAATACCCCCCCCCCCCCAAAAAAAAAAATCAAGAATAGTCAACAAATCGGCCCCAAGCTATGTTTTAATAACTATTTTTGGATTTTCTGCTTGTAGAGGGACGTCCCTGCCTTAAGATCATGATTTCGAGGCGAATCCGGCCGTGGCGACGAGGGCGGCCCTGGAGGTCCAAAAAGGGGGAAACGGCTGAAGTTGGCGGTATGGGTACCGTTTCCTCCCCAAAGGGAGAAAAACGGTATGAGCGTAAACTTTTGGAAGTCCGCGCGGACTTCTTGGATCAGCGCCAGGGGCGGCGCCGGAGGCGCCGCTGGGGGACTCCAGCGCAGATCCGAGAGATCCGCGCGAAGCGCCATAAGCTTATGTTTATACAGCTTGTTTCTTCCAGCGGTGGCGACAATGGCCGCCCTGAAAGCCCACAACAGGGAAACGGCCCAAGGACAGGAGAACCCACAATCGAATCGATGAATCGGATCGGCGATCGAAATGAATCGCATCGGCGAAAACCGGCAGCCGAGTCGGGAAAAGTCGAATCGGCGGAAATCGGCAGGCCAGCATACCTCCAGCAAGAAATTGGAACCCGAATCGGAATTCCAAGTCGAATCCAATCGGAATCGGAAGCCATCGAAACCGAATCGAATCGACTTGGGGGAGACGAAGTGAGCCCTGCTTATGGGTACTCTTCCCTCCTCTGATAGAAGAAGAAGAAGAAGAAACACAGAAACATAAACTTTCGACGGTCCGCGCGGATTTCTTGGATTTGCGCTGGGCCCCCCCTCCCTGGCGCGCGGAGCGCGCCAGGGGCGGCGCCTGGGGCGCCGCCGGGGGGCCCCAGCGCGGGTCTGAGAAATCCGCGCGGAGCGCCGAACATTCATGTTTATGTGGCTTACAGCCGGACTCGATTGGACAGGACACGCGAGAGGACACGAGACCCTTCCGAGGGCCACATTGCCGCAGGAGTGTAGGAAGCATGGGTCGCGAGACACAGGACACAAGGGTACTCCTAAGTCGGACTTTGGCCGGAAAATAAAAAATACCCAAAACATATTCCAAAATGGGCAAGAAAGTTCCAAACATCGTCCCGAGAGCATATTTTTGCTATTTTTGAATTTTCCTCCTGTTGAGGGACATGCCCGACTCAAGGGTACCCTTGACTTGGCAAGGTCGACCTGCAAATCTGGGCCGACCGTATCCCTCTTCGATATGACTACCTACCAGACCACCCCAACCCAACCCGAAGACCCGAATTCCGGGTTGGGGGGGTAAGGGTTCCAAACGTGTTTTCTCAGTGTTTCCCGACCCCCCCTTCACTGGAGATCGATGGTAAATCTGAGCCTTCGGGTTGGGTTGGGGTGGTCTGGTGGGTGGTGACGACCGGAGCGCCGGGCCTGCAGGCGCGGCGGCGCGGCGAGCTTGCCGGGCAGGTCGCCGCCGGGGGCGGGTCCCGCAGGCGGCGGCGGCACGAGCGTCAGCTCGGAGAAGCGGCGCCGGGCCTGCAGTCCAGCGCGCGGCGCCTCGCTCGGGGTCCTCCCCCTCCTTCGGGGTCCTCCCCCGCCTTCGGGGTCCTCCCCCTCCTCCTCCTCCTCCTCCTCCTCCTCCTTCTCCTCCTCCTCCTCCTCCTCCTCCTCCTCCTCCGCATGCTCATTCTTCTCCTCCTCGGGGTCCTCCTCCTCCTTCTCCTCCTCCCTGCTCCTCCTGCGCCTCCTCCTCCTCCTCCTCCTCCTCCTCCTCCTCCTCCTCCCTTTCGGGGAGGCACTTGGCTGCCGATCGGTGGTTGCCAAAGTAGGTGCCCCTGGCCCAAGGTGCCCCCAGCTTTTCGCTCCCTGTTGGAGCCCCTGGGGCCCTGTCGGCCTCGTGAGGGGTGCTCTGGAGGCCGCGGGGGCCACTATGGCAATCCTGGGCACCTTGGGCCAGGGGCACTTCTAGCAACACCCGACCTTCGGGGAGGCAGCTGGCTGCCGAGGTGCTGCATCAACTCCGCCCACCCGCCCAATGATCGAGTTACAGTCAGCCGGTGACATGAGGACGCACGATAAGGATGCAAGGGGTCTTGGAAGGCCACGTCGACACTCTGCGCGCGGGGCGCGGCCAGCGATAGCGGCCAAGGTTGGGCGGAAGGGGAAGAATGCAAGGGTACCCTTGGGAAATTGCCAATCCTTGCTATGCGGGTTGACCGTATGCTCCTTCGTGGCCCTTCGGATCCTAGTCAGATGGAGGGGACCGGACGGCCATTCACTGTCCGTGGGAGCGTGAATGAAAGGGAGTCCGCGGTGCGGATTATTGCTGTTGTCGTTGATGTTATCGTTGTCGTTGCTGTTATCGTTGCCGTCGTCGTCGTCGCGGTTGTTGATGTTATAATTGTCGTTGTCGTTGTTGTTGTTGTTGCTGTTGTTTGTGATGTTGATGATGGTATGGTTGTTGTTGCTGCTGTTGTTGTTGTGATTGTTGTTGCTGTTATTGTTTGTGTTGTCGTTGTCGTTGTTGTGGCTGTTGTTGCCGTCGTTGTCATTGTCGTTGTCGTTGTTGTCGTTGCTGTTGTTGTGATTGTTGCGCTCTTGCGTTGCACTGCCATCGGCGTCAAAACCCGTGACCCACCCGCGAACCGCCCGCGACCCAACCCGCGGCCCACCCGCGACTCATCCCGCGACCCACCTGCCGCGACCCACCCGCCGCGACCCACCCGCGACCCACCCCGCGACCCACCCGCGACCCACCCGCGACTCGCCCTCGACCCACCCCGCGCCGGCCCCCCTACCTCTTCTGCGCAACAGTGGGGCAACCAGGGGCTACACACCGCGTTAGCGATGAAAACCTGTTCGCAAATCCTAGCAGCTACACTGACGCGCCGAACCCGATCACTCGGGCGGGCTCTACCGCGTGGGGCCAGAACTCGTGCGGGTAAAGTCTGGCCACTCGGTCAGGTGCCAACGGTCGGGCTGGGCAGACCCTCGTGGGTGTGCTGGTCGGGCGGGTCCTCCCCCCTTGCCTCTCATGTTCCCTCCCCTCCCCGGCCCGCCGCTCCTCATTCCCCCTCCCCTCCCCCCAGCAACCTCCCCATACCCCCCCCCCCATCTCCCCCATCTTGTCTTGTCCCCGCTCCCTCTTTCTCCCAAGCCAGCCGCATGATCGAAACCTCAAGGCGTCAGATCCGCCCACACCTCCCAAACTGCAACTCCCTATGCCACCTAATGTCGCGCATCGAGCCCAGCGACGCGCGGTCAACTGCACACCTTTTTCCCTGAAGAGGTGCACGTCTCTAGTCCAGACCGCGACACGCCCCCGCAGGTGACACAGAACCTACGTCCGCATCTGTCCGACCCGTTCTTGCAGGGGTACTCCTGGAACCAATAGGAACTTACACTGGCAACGGGAAGCGAAACCCATGGCGACATGCAAAGATGAAAGGTTGTGTGCACTTAGCGCCCCGCAGATGCAGATAACAATGAGGGCGCGGGCGCGGGTGAGATTGTGGGTGGTGGGTGGTTCCTCTTTTTTTGTTCTCTCTCCGTCGATTTCTCTCTCTCTCTCTCTCTCTCTTTTGTTTTCTCTCTCTCTCTCTCTACCTCTCTCTGCTATCCCAGACTTCCTTCCCTCGGGGGGCCCAAAACCGTTGTCTCCGGTACCCAAATGCCCTTCGCTCTGGCTACTCAGTCCCCCTCTGCCTGGGCCCCGTTGGACAGCCTGGTTCGCGGCGCGCGCTACATTGGCGCTGGCCTTCTATCGCTGTGGCGAATTCCGCTTTACTAAATAGGCGGTTCCCGCTTTACTAGAATTGCCTTTCCCGGTTTATTCGAATGGCTTCCCGATGTACTACATTGGGATTTCCTCTTTGCAAAAGAGGTTTTCCGATTTACTGATGTGGGTTTCCCGCTTTGGTGAAGTGATCGCGTGCGGAAACTTACAGCATCGGAGCCCTTTGGCCCACTTTGCTACAATGGCTCGCCAGGTTTACAATAATGGTTGTTCTGCCAAACAGAACTGGATTTGTGATCCGAGAATGATCCAGTGTTGGCCTTCGAATCGTCAATGATTGGCCTGAGAACTGTTGATCATTGGCCTGAACACTGTTGGTTCGTGAAACCTGTGCGACACGCGAACCTATCTCTCTGAGTCCCAATGGGCTTGCTCTGAAGGGTTCACATTGACCCCCCTTCTCTCTGTGTCTCTCTCTCTCTCTGTCTCTTCCTGTCTGTTCTCTTCTCTCTCTCGCTCTCTCTTTCTTTCTCACCCTACCCCTCCCTCTCTCTCATGTGTCTTGTTAGCTCGCTCTCTTTTCTCTTGTGTGGTTGATCGTTGTTTTTGTTACGCCTGAGAAAGCCTAATCAGTGGATGATTTGAGGATTTATAATATGCGATGGATCTTGAAATCGATTGTGATACCGATCATGATATCGATCGTGTCATCGATACTGGTGACGATTGTTAGGTCGATCGTGAGACCGAGAGTGAAATCGATTCAATGAGATCGATAATGAGATCGATCGCGAGTTCGTTCATGCAATCTCTAGCGAGATCGCTTGTAGGATTGATAATGTGATCGATTGTGAGATCGATGGTGAGATCGATCGAGAGGTCGGTAATGATATCGAAGGTGAGACCGATCGGTAAGAAGATCGACCAAGAACCAGGGAACCCGGGAACCTCGACGCCTTCCAAATCGGCCCCGAACCCGGAACCGGGAACCCAGGAACCCGGAACCAGGAATCCGGGAACCCAGCCTGCCACCAAAATCGGCGGGAAACTTTCGCCAAATCCTTCAACTTCTGCTAGGACCACTTGAGTGCAAGCACTGATTGGGGAATCAATTTCTCTTTCTTCCCCCCCCCCTTGGCGCCCTGAGGCTACCCTTTCTGGGCCCCAGAAGCCCTCCTCTGGAACCTCGGAGCCCATATCCGCGTGAACCCCCAGGGCCCCTCTGGGACCCCAGAGCCCCTCTCGAGCCAGAGCCCCTCTCTCTGGGACTCCAGAATCCCTTCTTGTGGGACCTCGGGGCCGCGCTCCCCGGGGCCCCACATTCCCTGCCCTCCAGGCCCGAAGCGCGGACAGGTCTACAAGGAAGGCGCGGCTGCCTTTGCCGCGGTCTTTGTGCGTGTGTTCGGCGACCCTCCGCGCGCGGCGTGTGGGCTGGTTGTCATTGCAGCGATGCCGTCGGGACTTGGCGCGCTCGTAAGCCCAAGTGAAGGAAACGCCGCGCTGTTTCATAGGGATTTCGCGCAGGTCGGGGCCGTCGGCAGCGATTTCGTCGCCGAGCGAAATGATTGCGTCGGCGTCGGTGCCAGAATCGACACCCGCTGCTGGATATACCGCGGGTGCTGCTGCTGATGTGCCGGCTTGCGCGGTGGCTTGTGCTGCAGGCAGACTCGGTGCCGCTCCCAGGGCTGAAGGGCCCATGCCTTCCCAGCTCGATCGGCCTCGAGTGTCATAGGCACTAGGACCCCGATAGTGCGTTGGCGCACCAGTGAGGAAAGCTTGGCATTAAGACGAATGCACGGCCGGGGCGAGCCCGGCGAGCTAACGACCGCACAGTCAGCCCGTGCCAGAAGGATGCACGGTGAGGATGCAAGTGCCTCGAAGGGCCACATTCGCGCTTTTAGAGCGAAGCTGGCCAGCAAAGTAGAGCAGCATTGGCCGAGGGGGCATTGATGCGCGGGTGCCCTTGGGAAGGACCCCCCATCCTTACTACGCGGTATGAGTGTCTGTCCTCCATCATGTGTGCCAGCTGCGGTGCATCCGTCGGGTGGGCCGTGTTGCTGTGCTGTAAGATCATGGCGAGCTGGGTGTTCGACACACCTACCGCAACCAGCACGAGGTAGCTGAGGATTTCGTAGCCCATCATGGTTTGACAGGCCTGCTGCACCTTGTTGCGGAGGATGCCGAACCTGGCGAGGAGGTTGTCGATGCGTTCCTGCGGCAAGCGGTAGAAGTTCATGAGTGTGTGCTCCTCCTTTCCAAGTTGGTCCCACCTTTCTGCCAAAGTGTGCAGGAGGTCGGTCATGGGCAGCACTGGGTTGCCATTGATCTGACCACCTTGGATGAGGACAACTAGCGGCCACGTCGACGCACTCGCGAGCCGCGCCCGTCAAGCGAGGCGAAACGTAGGCCGTTTGGCGAAGCTCGTCGGGGTCTGAGTTCCCCACTGACCAAATCATCACCACGCGCCCAGCGTTCTTGCTCGGGCCCCCAATTTTCGAGGTTTCTCATGCTTCCGCTGCCACCAATGCCAGCGTCCATGCAGGAAATGCAGCTGCTAGCAGGGACCATGCTCACTCAGACCGCCCTCTATCCAGAATGGAGCCCCCTCCAGGTGTCGAGGAGGCGCGACCGTCCTGGCGTCGACCAACGGCGGTGCTCTGGTAGTGATCCTCTCAGCCGTCGAGGTCATATGCGCCCCTTATGCCCATCGGATTGGGTCTTGTATTCTGCCGCGCGATTGGCATGCGGACTGCACTCGGAGCGCCTCGCCACATGGTGGCGAAAGAGCTCGTCGCGCGTGTTATCGTCACTGTGATGAGCACTGCCAACTGTACGATATAAAAGGGGGGATGCATAGGGACCCAGGTCTGCCAGGAAGCAGGAATCGCGCAAATAACATTGAGGGTCTGCCTCGGAAAACCGATAACGGATAGTCCCTAGCCTGTGTAGCGGTGCCCCCTAGGGATGGCATCCGAGTCGCCCGAACCTCCTGTGTATTCCCGCTCTTTCCCACACGCGCCCCCCCTGGCTTCCACAACGTGGTCGCGGGAAAACTCGGGAAGCCTCGCCAACATCGACGATGTGAACGCCGGATCGAACGACTGCCTGACATGGCCGGTTACACCCACATGCGGATGCAATGGAGACGGTGTGTCCCTTTCCTCTTCCCCACCGGGCATCCGCAGCACAGTTGCAAATAGCTCGGGGCCATGTGCCGACAGCGTGGGCGTGGCAGTTGGATCGCTGGATGGTCTGTCGTTGACGGCGGTACTCACAGGCGAGCGCTGTGATGACGGAGGGCCTCCGATCATATTGAACACGGTTCGAAAGTGCCCCAGGGGGGACACCGAGGCACGGTGGGCGCCGTCCTTGGGGCAATCGTCCTTGAAGTGGTACTCGCGCAGATCCTGCTCCGCTGGTCTTGGCGGCTTGGCGAGGGGCGCCCTGCGGGCCCCTGAATGCGCGGAGCCGTCCTGGACGAAGCAGGTGAAGCACGCGAAAGCGGATGTACAGCGGGTCGACATGGGCATCGACGTAGAGCGGACACCGCGGGCGCGGAACATCTGCCGTGGATTAGGGAGCGACCAGCTCCGCTACCAACTACGCGAGGGTGTGTGTGGGGTGTGTGTGTGTGTGAGAGAGTGTGGGTGGGTGGAGGCGGAGGACAGGATAAAGGGAGGAGAGGGGGAAGGGCCGGAGGAGAAAGGGGAGGAGGGGAGGAGGGAGGGCCACTCCTGGAACCAACAGACGCACATCCTGCTTCGAGCGCCAGACGCGGCCTCGAGGAGGATGAGCTCGGGCTGCGGAACCGCAGGAAGCCGCGGGCTCCTTTCCGCGGGCGCCGCCAGCGAAAAGGCGTCCTGCGGAAGGAAGCCAGATGCTCTGGAGCGACAGGGGGAGGGCTAGGGAGGGGAAATGAGGAGGGAACGGAGGGGGGGGAGTAGGAGTAGGACCCAATTTCGGACGCAAGCTGTGCCGATAACCTACTTGAAGGAATGACCCTTGCTGCCGCCTTGCTCGGTAAGCAAACATTGCTCAGGACGTTCCCCCTTGATCTGAGGCAATCTGAAGGGGAAGGGGGAGGGATATAGGAGATGAGGGAGGGGGGAGGGAGGGATGGAGGAGAAGGAGTAGGAGGAGGAGTTACGGAGTTACGGATATTGTGACTGTGTCGGTTACGATTAAGCCTCGCAGGAGGAGGAGGAGGATGAGGAGGAGGAGGAGGACATGGAGGAGGAGGAGGAGGAGGAGGAGGAGGAGGAGAGGAGGAGCAGGAGGAGCAGGAGGACGAGGAGGAGAAGGAGGAGGAGGAGCAGGAGGAGGAGCAGGAGAAGGAGGAACAGGAGGAGGAGGAGGAGGGAGGAGGAGGGAGGAGGAGGAGGAGGAGGAGGAGGAGGAGGAAGAGGGAGGGGCGACGCAGGAGGTGAGGGAGATGAGGAAGGAAGGGGATGGAGATGAGGGGGGATAGGGGGGAGATGCAGGTTGGAGGAGGCGAGGGAGGGGGGAGGACGGGAAGGAGGAGCAGGGCACCCGAAGACGGCGCGAGGGCCGAGCGCCCACGTCGCGGGGCAGACGCGAGGCTCCTCCCCGGCCTCCTGCACCTCGGAGGTCGCGGGCGGCGGCGCGGGGAGAGCGGCAGGACGAGCAGCACCAGCACCGCCAAGAGGGGCAGGGGGAGGTCCGGCTGCCGATGCGGGGCAGGAGCAGGAGGGCACGGGAGAGCAGCAGGACGAGCAGCATCGCCAGGAGGAGCAGGAGGGAGCGGGAGAGGCTGGAGGAGCAGGAGGAGGTCGGGGAGCGCCAGCGAGAGCGCCGGCAGGAGGAGCAGGAGAGGCTGGAGGAGCAGCACCAGCAGGAGGTCCGTCCTCCTGCGGATGCTGCTCCTCCCAAACCCGGGACCTCCCTTTGCCGGCTTGCCCCGATAGTCCTTCGGCAGGGGCCCGCAGGTCACAGGTGAGGAGTCCGGCTCCGAGGAGGACGTCGACGCGTCCTCATCGGTGCTGGAGATGCTGGGCAGCCAGCCCCGAACCTGCGCGTGCTCCCTAAGGCCGGCGCTGCACCCGCTCGAGGTGGACCTCGACCGCGCCCCCCCCCCCCCCGCGCAAAACCAGCGCATCATTTTCGCGTGCGCGCCGCGAGGGCCCCCCCCCCCCCCCACGGCCACAAATCCGCACCCAAGAAATCCTGGTGGGCGGTGCGTTTTCCAAAGCCATGCAAGCGCTTGGGACCTCTGAAGGGCGGCGTGTGGCAACAAGCTGAGCAAGAGAGCAATCCATTGCGCACTGACTACAACGTCGCCATCGGCCTTTGTCTAGGGAGCAGGCGCAAGTTTAAGGCTGGCTACTGGGCGTGGGGTATTGGGAATAACTTCGCATGCAGCTACAAGCGCTGCGCTTAGTAGCGAAGGATCCCAGAATCGAGCCCAAAAATGGCTGCGAGCACGAGACGCTGCAATCTCCTCACCCAAAGGGAGCCACAATGTAGACCATCACACCGCAACTGCGCGTCGTCGTCCTTCTCCTCCGCATGCTCTTGCTTGGTCCTCCTGCCAGTCTTCCCCCCCCTCCCGACGCGAAACTGCGCGGCGAATCATGATACATATGTTCAGGTATTATCAGAGTGAGGGGACCGAACAGTCTTCTACTATCCCTGGGAACGGGGGTGAAGTGGGATGTGGCCTGGATCCTGATACATTGTTGCTTGTCGTCGTCGTCGTGTTCGTCGTCGTGTCGTCGTCCGCACCCACCCGCGACCCACCCGGCGACCGCCCCCTCACTCCTCTCCGCAACTGCGGGGTGCTACGTAGGATCGATGCTCGGATTCACGTGGCATGCCGTGCGCCACGTGCACACGCCACCCCAAACACATGTAAGCAGAGGAGGAGGAGGAGGAGGAGGAGGAGGAGGAGGAGGAGGAGGGGAGGAGGAGGAGGACGACGAGGAGGACGACGAGGACGAGGAGGAGGAGGAGGAGGAGGAGGAGGAGGAGGAGGGGGAGGAGGAGGAGGAGGAGGAGGAGGAGGAGGAGGAGGAGGAGAGAACACGACGTGCACAGCGAACGTCCACGGGCGCGTGTCAAGCCAGGGCGCGGCGCGCCGCGCGGCCGGACCTCGCGGCGCTGCGACTCCCTGCGGGCCTGCGGGACCCCCAGGCAATGGAGAGCAGCCTGGAGGCCTCGCGCGGCAACGTGAGACCCCTGGTGCGTCGGATCCACGTCTAACGAGGCCAAATTTTATACACCACCACCGCCCGCAACAGTAGTTCATCACAAAACGTGTTAGGGGCAGGGTCATGCCAGACGACGCTGCGACGCCACGGCGACAAGGAGCGCGGCGCAGCTCGCAGGCGCCGTGGCATGTGGAGTTCCTGAAGCAGAAGCAGCACTTCCTGGTGGTGGTGTATAAAATCGTTCCTCTTGGAAACCAAAATTGTATACACCACCACCGCGAGTGCTTGATGAATTCTGTTTCGGACCTTCACACTGCGCTGCACGAGCTAGCAGAGGCCCACCCGGGCTGCAAAAACGTCCCACGCGTCCGCTCCATATGCGCACCCGAGCCGGGATCCGGGCCGCCCCCCCCCACCGGCCACCTGCCGTCACGGGCGCTGCCGACATCTCAAACACCAGCTCTGGGGGTGATTTGTTTTGTGTGCCGACCCATTTCAGAGGTTTCAGAACTCCTGATGCAGAGACAACACTAAGCTTGTTCTCTTAAGCACTGGGGGAAAAACGGTTGTATTTGAGAGGCGTGTTATTCCTCACTTACAGCCACTACGAAGTATTCTACATCATCCCAGCCCTACCAGCTGGACACTTCCACCCTGATAATGTTAACAAAACAGAAGCTCTGGGGGTGAAAATGTGAGAGTGTGAAGAGTTCCGACTCGCCGTCCAGACGAATCGGGGGGGGATGGGACGCAGAAGGTCGTACCAGCACTGCGTGCCCCCCCCTGGAGGCACAAGTCCAGACCGATCACATGCCACAAACGTGTTACAGAGCATATCGCCATGCACAGGAAGTGTGCGCCAACGAGCGCACACTGGAGGACTTCTGAGCGCGAGCGCCACCGCTGCGGGGCTGACGCACACATCGTACACAAATGTCTGGATGTGAGAGGCAACGTAACGGGGGCACACCTCGAGCTGGAATCGGCGATACCCGACAGATCGGCGAGAGGCCCCGGGTAGCGAACCGGTACGCTCCTCGGCGGGGCTCGCCCTCTGCCCGCATCGGCGAGCAGAGGGCGCTTGGGGGTCGACGCGTCCCTCCCCGAGCCAATCCCCTTCTGACGTTGCCCCCCCCCCGCCCACGGCGGCCGTTTGGGGAGATCTGGGCACAGGGCGAAGCCGGCCGTGGCGACGAGAGATCTCCGGGACGAGCAGCGGTGTCGGTACTCTGGGTGGGGCACTGATCGCCCCCCCCCCTTGAATCCGCTGGGGGGGTTGGCCACGTGCTGTCGGCACGGGTGGAAGGGGGGTTGGAGGAGGAGGAGGTAGAGGAGGAGGAGGAGGAGGAGGAGGAGGAGGGGGAGGCGGGGAAGGAAGACGACGAGGGGGAAGAGGAGGAGGAGAGGAGGAGGAGGAGCAGGAAGAGGAGGAGGAGGTGGAGGAGGAGGGGGGGGGATGGGCAAGCTCCGTCAGAAGGATAGTTGTCTACCCCTCGAGGAATATCCAGAGTACCTTCTCCTCCTCTGATCTCTCGCTCCGGCGGCCTCCAGCAGGGCCGCCCGCGCTCGCGAGCCGGCGGGGGCAGAGGGCACCGGCCGCGCCAGAGCCTGCGCCGGAGGTGCGTGTCAGGAGGGGGCGAAGACGCACGGACACAATTGAGCGCCGATCCCCGGGAAAATATCGTAAGGGCGGGCATGTCCCCCTACAGACGGATTCAGAAAATCTATGTCATTAAACAACGCTAAAACACTATTCAAACATAACAGAGAAGCCGTACCCAGACTATCTCTTGCCTCCTATTATTCCCCCTGTAGAAGGACATGCCGGACCCCAAAAATACCGGACAATCCGGCAAGTGTAGGGGGGGGGAAGGCGAACATCCAGAAGATGCGAGAACAAGTTAAGGAATCCTAGGGTGCTCTGTGCACTTGTCAGTGCCCCGGGGCTCCTCCGGCGCGGCGTCGGGGAAAGCCGGGGCAGGGCACGCGCGCACGCGCGAGCGGAAGCGATGGGCAGAAGTGATGGGGCTTCTGGAGAGGCCCGCTCTTCGGGCCCCCCGGGCGACGAGCCCGAGGAACCTTTCGAACAAACACACACACAGTGGAAACAGAAGCACGGTGGACAAAAACTATGGAAAAAACAGTGGAAACGAATCACTGTGGAAACAACACGGCGAAACAAAAACAAACTGGGGACAACACACACACACGCACGCACGCAGAGTGTGTGTGTGTGTGTGTGTGTGCGTGTGCGTGTGCGTGCGTGTGTGTGTGTGTTTGTGTGTGCGTGTATGTTTTGGTCCAAGAGCGGTCCCTGGCGACGGGGTCGTGAGCTCTTGGGCGGAGCCGCAGCCGCCGCCTCGGCCCTCCTGGCCCCTCCGGTCTGCGAACGGCGAATTGCGACCCGCGGGAATCGCCGCGAGGGCGCTGCGAGGCGGGGCCGAAGCACCCAGCACGACTACACAGCATGATCTGGGCTCGGCCCTCCTGGCCCTTCCGGTCGTGAAAACCCAAAGAGCCACCACAACCAGCACTCCACAAAACCGGCATCCCCGCGCGCGGCGCGCGCGGGGACGCCGGCTCTCGCGCTGGCGCCGCCGGCGCGTGCGCGCGCGTGCGAGCGGGGAGCGCGAGCGGGGAGCGCCCGCCTCCTTCTCCCCTCCTCCGCCTCTTCCCTCTTCCATTCCTCTTCCCTCCTCCTCCTCCTCCTCCTCCTCCTGCTCCTCCGCCTCCTCCTCCTCTGCCTCTTTCCTCCTCCATTCCTCCTTCCCTCCTCCTCCTCCTCCTCCTCCTCCTCCTCCTCCTCCTCCTCCTCCTTCTCGTCCTCCTTCCCTCATCCTCCTCCAACTCCGCCTCTTTCCTCCTCCATTCCTCCATTCCTCCTTCCCTCCTCCTCCCTCCTCCTCTCCTCCTCCTCCTCCTCCTCCTCCTCTTCCTCTCCATTCCTCTCCTCTCGTCCTCGTCCCTCGTCCTCGTCCTCCTCCCTCCTCCTCCTCCTCTTCCATTCCTCCTCCATTCCTCTTCCCTCCTCCTCCTCCTCCTCCTCCTCCTCCTCCTCCATTTCTCTTTCTTCCTCCTCCCCTATGAGGTTGATGGCCGATGTCTGTACCACAACAACGAACTTCTCGAGTAGACGTCGTCGCCCTTGTCATCCTGCTCCTCCGAGTCCTCACCCTCGTTTCTTCCCTCTTCTATTTTCTCCACCTCGCTTCCCCTTCTCCTCCTCTTCATTATACTCCTCCAACTCTCTTCCTCCACCCCCTTCACCCCCTCAAAATTTCGCCTCCCCCTCTTTTCCCCCCGCCCCATCCTCCTCCCTCTTCTGTCTTTCTTCCGCCTCCTCCTCCTCCTCCTTCGTATTGTCTGTATCCTCCGCATTCGCGTCCAATGCCTCCACCGTATCTTCACGATCCGTGTCCTCATGATCTCCCTACTCTACCTCACCCTTATCGTGCCCTTCTTCATCCGTTTTCTTCCCTCCGCGACTCTGTCATCCTCCCACAACGGCCCGTTCCCCTCCATCTGCCCCCCCGCATTATCATCCCGCTGCATCTTCTGCTGTTTCTGCTGCTGCTGCTGCTGATACTCCTCCCCTATCATCCTCATAATCCTGCTCTCGTCTCCCCCTCCCCAACACCCTCCGCACGCATGCCCGCCCGGCAAGTCGCGTAGCGAGGGGAGGGGGTGGTCGAGCATTGGGCGCCTGCGCCTTCAGGGCCTCCAACAAGGTAATCTGCATGCTGAGCTCGCCCTCTAGAATATGCGGCTGGTTGCTTGTTCTGTTTGTTCTATCTCCTCTCGCCTTGTCTCCGTCTCTTTCAGTTTGTTCTCTCTGTCGCGCTCTCTCTCACTCCCCCCTCTCTCTCTCTTGATCTGTGTCCTCGCCGTATTCCCCCATGGGTGCCAAAAGATCCCAGTTTCTAACACTAAAACTATAAGCGAGGAAACGAAACCGTATCGACCAATGGCGGCGAAGCCTCCTTACCCATGCGAACTACGTACATACCCGGGCAACACACTCGATGTGTGGCATCGGGATCCCCTGCCCAAACTCCCCGACCCAACCCGCGTGCCCGCGCCCGACCTCCTCCCTGGGCCTACTCCCACTCCATCGTCCGCAACTCGCGCTCCTTCACTGTCTGCTGCAACACCTTCCTCCCAATCAGTCATCGGGGATCTACTGACCCGGGTCGATCCAGACCCGGGTCAGTCAAGCTTGGCAGGATCCTGCACGCAAGCCTGGGCCAGGGCGCCCCTGACTCTGCAGGATCCTGACCCCCGTTGGCATCGGCCCCCATCTCTTGAGCCCCGAAATCAGATCATCACGATTCGTCGTATTCGTCGTCGTCGCGGTCTTTTCCGATTGTTCGGGCTCTCGTCCGCTAATTACCGTGGCCTCGGCACGCTGCGGCGCTGTGGAATAGGTTTGCTAGGTGCCTGGTAGGGCTTTTGGCGTTTGCCATGGGCGGTGCTTTCACCTACGACCCTACGACGGTCTAGGGCGCTCGCTCCAAGACTCGGAGAAGGAAAAGGTACCCATACCTCTACCCTCTCCTGGTGTTCCTCATTTTCGGCTTCCTGGGCGGCCCTCATCGCCACCGCCGGGTTCGCCTCGACATCCTGGTCAGAGCGCATCCCAGGAGCGGTCTGGGGTAGCGGTACTGGGACCTCTTGGTTTCCCCAAAGACTGCTGCAGGGATGCCCCAACGCTAGCACGACGAGGCTCGGAGACCATCCAGACAGAAGTCCAGGCGATCCCCAAGACGCCCCAATTAAAGCGCCCAAGGGGGGCCCGAAGCGCCCTCTAGCAGGGCCCTGGGTTGCAAAACGTGTCGAAACACCCTATTGCGTTTCTCTTGATTTTGCTTTCGACGGTTTGTGGCCGAATGTGGCCTCCGAAGGCTTCAGAGCAGAAATGTGGCCCCCAGGAGTTGTTCGCCCAAGTCGGCTGGAAAATCTCCCCAAACAGCCCAATTTCGCCCGGGTCTCCAAAACAACCCCAAGATCCAACAAACTAGGCCCAAGATGGTCCCACCGAGCGTCCTCGGAAATACCCAGCAGAACCATCGTGCCCAAGCCGACCCCCAGACTCCAGAGAAGGCCCCACGTGGGCACTAAAGAATGCTCCGATTACCCTCGTAACGTCTCATGATGTAACGCAGCAGTCATGACATGTTACACCTCGCCACGTTGCAGCATCGTTTCGTTGCTTCTCACAAGACACTAACATGGTTCTGCACAGCTTCCGCGGGAGAGCGCGTTGGAATCGCATTGAACAAGGTGGCTGGATGTGGCTGGATGTGGCCTCAAACTGTCGCACCCTTTTTCTTTCTGGTACTGCGCTAGTTGGTCAGACCTTTTCCTGTAAGTGGCGTCTGGCCCCCAGTGGAGCCCATCAGAGGTTCCAAACAAAACTGGCGAGGCGTGGTGAGGGAGGTGGATGAGAGAGAGGGATGGTAGGCGGCCCTCTTAGACCCATCAATTTGAGACTCACCAGCCCCTCCCCCTTGATACCTCCAGGGGGGCGTAAACCTCGTTGCGCGCTATCTATGCTGTGCCGTACAATACTCTGGACCGAGCAGCCGCTCGATAGTCCTCGTGCGGCTGCTCGACATTTCTCGTGAGACTTCTGCGCGGCACTTCCTTTCAACAACGCTTTGCGTTTTTTGCACCTCGGTGTGAGGATCAGCGCAAGGCAGCTCGCATGTGGGTAGCAGCGCAAGGGCGACTATTTTCCCCTTCCTTCCCTGCGGGCAAGATTCATATCCATATCCAGTGCGTCTGGGGTTTTCTTAGAAGGAACGCCGCGAGGCCGGAGCGCACTGGATATGGATAAAGATCGAGCCTCCGGGGGCCAGAACTTTATCCACGTCCAGTGCGCCTCGGGCCGCGGGCTTGTTGGGAAGGGAGCCCGAGACTCCAAGCTGTAGTGGGTATGGCCACACGACGTCCAGGAGGCCCTAATGCTGCACACCACATGCGAACTACCTTGCGCCGATCCTCACTACGGGGTGCGGAGGGCGCGTGGCGCTGCTGCTGCAAGGAGGTAGCGCACCAAAGTCTCACGGCGTCCCAGACCCCCCCGACGCCATGATTTCTGCATGACGTCGACCACCAGAGGTCTCGCGACCCTTTCCCCGGGACCGGTTCTTCCTCCTGAGTCGTTTTCAGATGGTCTCGAGGGCCAGTAAAGGGCCCCCCCGGAGCCGAAGATAGCAAACACAAACCTCCCGCCGTGATTTTGTCACATACCTCGAGGGGGTCTGGGGCCGAGAGCCGCCCCTGAAAGGAAGGGGACATAGTCGTCGGGGCCTGGCCGGGGCCCAGTGCCCAGTGTCAGGAGGCAGAGGTAAAGAGGGAGAGGGAAGGGAGAAAAGAGGGAGGCAGGAGGAGGTAGAGAGAAGAGACAGCAGACGCTTTGTTCAACATGGGCCAACCCCCATTACCACCCGCCTGGTCGCCGGGGCCGGCCGGCAAAAGGTGGTGAACGACCTCCCGACGTGATTTGTTGTCCTAACTCGAGGGGGTCTGGCGTTGAGTGCCGGGGCCTGCAGTGCCCGGGGCCCGGGGGACACCAGGGCAGAGTGGAGGGGCAACGATAAGGGGGGGAGTGGCATGGGGTGGGGAACATCGGCCTGGAATCGGCGATACATCGCCGATAGATCGCCGATAGGCCCCCGATTGTGAATCCGCACGTTCCTGTGCAGGTCGGGTCTATCGGGAGGAGGAGGAGGAGGAGGAGGAGGAGGGAGGAGGAGGAGAAGGGAGGAGGGAGGAGGAGGAGGAGGAGGAGGGGGAGGAGGAGGAGGAGGAGGAGGGAGGAGGGGGAGGAGAGGGAGGAGAGGAGGGAGGAGGGAGGAGGGAGGAGGGAGAAGGAGGAGGGAGGGAGGAGGGAGGAGGAGGATGGAGGAGGGAGGAACAGGAGTCAATGGGCGACTGGGGGTCGATGCGTCCCCCCCTATGCCTGTCCCCCCCCATATCGTTGCCCCCGACAGAGGCCCGCGGCGTGCAGCCCTGGAGCCTGGCCGGGCTCGCGCCCAGGGGCCGGAGAGGCCTGGGGATACGCCGGCCTCCCCCTCCTCCTCCTCCTCCTCCTCCTTCCTCCTCCTCCTCTTCCTCGCTGTTCCTCGATCCTACTCGATCCTCTGATCTCCTCCTCCTCCTCCTGCTGCTGTTCCTCCTCCTCCTCTTCCTCCCCGGTCCCCGATCCTGAACAAGCCCCCTCTTCCTCGATCCTCCTCCTCATCCTCCTCCTCTTCCTCGGTCCTCCATCGTCCTCCTCCTCTTCGTTTTCGATCCTTTTCTTCTGTTCTGGATCCTCGTTCCTCGATCCTCGGCTCATCCTCGATCCTCGATGCTCCAACTACCCCCGACCCTCAATCCCGATTCCCTATCTCCACAGAGAACGCATGCGGGAAACACCAAAAGAAACACCGAGCAAACAAACAGCGGGAGGGAGGGAATCGGATAACGAAAACCAGCATCGACATACGAACCGCAATGGGGACGATGACGAAGTTGGTACTTGGAAGAGTCTGGGATGGGGAGAAGTCATAGGTAGGAAAGGCAGGATACGGGTGAGGTGCTGAACTAATTTATTGGCGAACATCACCATCCCCATCATCACTATCTTCAACACCAGCAGCATCATCACCATCATCGACATCATCGTCATCATGAGCATCAGCACCGGCACCGTCATCAGCAGCATGAACACCATCGTCATCACAATCATTATCACCAGTCTGATCCTCTGCATGACCACCATCGTCATCATTGTCACCCATATCATCAGCAACGCCCTCAACGTCAACGTCGCCATCGTCAACATCGTCATCATCCGTTTCATCAGCATCATCATCACCATCACCATCATCATCAGCCATATCATAGTCAACGTGCACACAACCATCATCGTCATCATCATTACCACCGTTACCAGCGTCGACATCACCAACACCATCACCATCATCCGTGACGGAGCGTTCAGTGGGGCGGGCGGGCGGGACATTCAACGCGACCTTCTCTCAAGTGGTGGTGCATTCTCATCATCGCCCTCATTACCGTCATCCTCAGCACCACCATCACCATGGTCATGGCCATCATCACGACCATCATCAACAACATCAAAATCAGCGTCTACATGACCATCATCGCCATCCCTATTCCCATCACCATCAACAGCGACTCGTTCCCCCCGACAGGCCTTCTGCTATCTGCCCAGGCATGAGTGCACCCAGTGGGTGGCGCTCGTGCTCCTTCGGCCTCCCGCAAGGCATCCTGGCACTTGCCACCTATGCTCGCCCACGTGGGCGTGAGGCAGGAAAAAGAGCGTGACGCTGCCGCGCTGCTGCGTCGACGAGCGGCGTGCAGCTGGATGCCAAGAAGTGCCGCGCAACTGAATGCAAATCGCTAGCGGGTTTGCCGACTCAGCCATAACCATGAAGACTTATGCAGTTGCTGAATCAGGGGCCCTTCGGGCGCACTTGCGCCCCCGTGCTGCTTCTCCCCGTTCTCTCGGAATTGTCCATCCTCGATCCTCCTACTTTTCAGGGGCAACAGGGGTGGCCGGTGTAGAAAGAGAGTGCGTTGAGCACGGATGAGCTTGTTTTAATTACCTCAGGGAGGGGCCTTGTCTACTAGAGGGTGCTGCGCAACAGGGGAAGCCTGTGACGAGGGAGGGGCGAGTCTAGCTAGCGCCCAGGAGTTGCTTCACGATCAGCTTTGGGAGAGGCCATGTCTAATCGGGGG